CACAATTTTCAATAAAAACTATTTTATTTAAACAAGATCAGTTTTAATAATTATTTAAGTGTAAAAGTATTGACCAAGGTAAAACGTACTTGGTCGGCAGACTTCCCGCAAAAACACACCTAACATTACAAACATACTTGTTTATTGCCCTAATAAGGCATTTCAAAACTTAGCCTTACTTATAAAAACGTGTAAACAAAACAATAATGGTTATAATAAACAAGGCACTAGATTTAACCAGGGCATTGGCACCGCAAACTGCCCGGTTGTCCGACGGATTAAAACCCATATCACGGCAATTGGGCGCATCATAACGTTTGCTATTCATATCAAAGTACACTGTGTCCCAGATCATTTCCAATTGTTCCCACTTGGTACAGTAATTCTATTAAAAACAAAATAATTAGCATGATATTTTAATTTGAGATAACTATATTAATAATTACTTTGAAATGCAAGCATTTAAAAAATATAATACTTGACTTACATTAGCTATTTAACTAAAACAAGTAGCTAACATAACTAAATCCTAAATATAAAGAATGTAATTTACCTTGTAATTATGTCGATAGCAGTCAATCATGTTAAACAATTTACAGCAATAATATCTATCTCCTTTGTGGTACAGGGCTGTTGTGGCACAACGGCTACCCATTTTATCTAGGCAGTCTTGCGGGTCTTTCAATCTCATGCCATTAAGGTCATTGCCGAGCATCAGGGCAATTGATGAGTCACGTTTGCTTCGGGCCCCAGAAACGACATAAATTGTAGCAATTAACAATAATAGTTTATACATGGTACAAATATTTAAGTAATTCGGTTATCAATTAATTTAATTAAAACAATATTAGTTAAACTAGTGTAAATTGTGCTATGTTAAAACACACCTCGTTATTAGGTGTGCTACTTAATGTATTTGATCTAAGTTACTGACACAATGAGGTATTTTTACTAATAACAGTATTAATAACAGGTATGGATGCCAGCGTATTGTTACTCGATGGGCAAATAGATTGTTACCCCGGTGATTGTGTGATACAGTAAATTCAGTTTAAACAAAACATTTTGATTTATGTTAATTATTAATAAATCATATTTAATGCTAACCTATAATAATTAATTTTATAAATTTAAGTTATTTAATTTAAGTAATTAATTTATTAAGTTAAATTAATTGTGAACTTGCTTAATTTTATTAGTTTATTGATTTAAGGTATAATAAACAATATAAAAAATTGTGCATGTGGTGTTTGTAATTTTATAAATAAGTGGAACGGAAATACATAGATTATTTTAACTGTGATATCTTTAATACTATCATGTGCAAACATAATTGTTTTCATCATAATTACATTACTCACTATTTGATTTAGATCATTTAATGTCAAATAATACAATTATTTGAATTAATTAAGATAATTTTACTTGAAATATTGAAAAATTGTGTTTAAAAATTGTTTATTATTTGAATAAGGTAATTTTTGGTAAACATTTAACAACATTTTGTAAGTAACTTATTGACTGTATTATATTAGATTTTATATTTATTATTATGTACGATTAAACAATTAATATCATATCCGGTAGCAGTACGTCACAGCAATTATTACATTAATAACTTTAGTAACACTAATATTATTTATTATATTGAATGGCATAAAACATCATTATATTTATTTTAATAATTTCAATTAATAATAATTAATTGTTATAAAATAATTAATGCTGGTTTCATTACACTAAATAATTACTGGTTTGATTAGAATTATAATAATTATTTATATTAATTAATTTACATTAATTAATTGCCATAACAAACAAAATAAATCATGGATGTCAATAGTAAAACTGGCGATATTTTAGCAAGTACACCTGAGTTACATACGGATCTGCTATCTGATTGAGAATAAGATCTAGATGTACAATAGTCTTGATTGTATTTCACACCATCTAAGTTAAAATAGATCGTGCTCCATGCCCATTCCAATTCAGCTTGCTCCATTGTTGTACAATAACTCTATACAATAAATAAATAGATATTATAAATAGAAAATAATTATGTTATATATAACTAATTTTAATTTATCAGTATAAACAATATGTATATTATCTACATTTCTATTAAACATTATTATAAGTTAGTGCAATAAATTATTGTATTACATTAATTTATGCTAACTACATGGTAATTTGTTAAATAATATGCATATTAGCTTGTATATTTACCTTGTAATTATATTGATAGCAATCGGTCATATCGTATAATAGGCAACAGTAATAATCATCACCACGATTATAGTCGGGCCACTTGCCACAAGCACCTTTCATTTTATCAAGGCACATATTAGCCGACTGTAGTTTTAATCCATTTATATCACTACTTGCTGGGCTATTATCCAGCATCAGGTTCACTTGTCTGCCCTTGTTAATTTGCTCCGTACATACTATACAAAGTATAGCAATAATAATTAAACATTTAAGCATGATTATTTTATTTTCAATTACAAGTTTATAATAAACTAAATGAGCTATCAATCAATTCGCATTGAAAAAGTTGGACTTATTTATATAGTTTTCATAAACTATATGATTAATTATTTATTTACACAAAACGTATTTTTATTGTTAATTTTGAGTTAGGAAATAAAATAAATACCTGATCAATCGCTTAGCATTTACTGTATATTGCTACTTAGATACGTTGTTAATACTTTTATTTAACTAGCATAAAATATACCTCAAAAAATAAATTGCATTATCCTACTACATTTACAAAATCATGTAATCCATTAATTAATTATTAAAATTTAGTAAGTATAGTGACCATTGGTATTGTTTTAAATTACAGTTTTTTACTGTCATTAAATGTCTAAAAGGTCTAAAAATTATTTTTAATTGACAATACTTTTAATTAAATAGATATCTCATTTGTTATTCATCTATGTGACTAATTCTATTTAACTAAAATATAGTGACATGCGCGAATACAAGCTATTAGTTCTCGGTTCGGATGGCAAAAATAAGCTAATTACACAATTTGTATATGGTACTTTTGCTAACGATTATGACCGAACCATAGACGATAGTTACCGCAATATAGTAGAAGTAGACGGACAGTTGTGCATGCTAGAAATAATAGACACAGCGGGCATGGAACAATTCACGGCGATGCGTGATGTATATATTAAGAAAAGTGATGGATTCATGCTGATTTATTTAATAGCTGACCAATCTACATTTAATGATTTACAGGTAAAATAATGTTTAAAAATGGTCAAACGTATACAGCTGTCATGGTCATTAATTTAAAAATATTTATATTTTATTACCTTATTACCTTACACACCAAAATTAATATCTATAATTAGCAAATTATTATAATAGTAGTCACATTGTGCGGCTATTACAGTTTGTCACAAATAATAAATACAATTATTTAAATTAACACAATTTATACATCAAGTAAATATTTTCATTGTAAGTACAGGACATACGACAGGGTATACTTAGAGTAAAAGACACCGACGACGTGCCTATGATTTTAGTGGGTATTAAACGCAAACGAAAAGATAGGAAGGTGATTGGGACTGACCAGGTTGCTAAGTTAGCTCAATCATTCAATGACTGTGCGTTTATTGAATTGACAAGTAGGGATCATGATCATGTGAACGAGGTGTTTTACGAATTGGTCAGACAGGTGGATAAGAAACTGCCCAATATAATACAAGACGTATCTAAAAAACAATCACGATGTGTTTTATTTTAATATGTTAATTTTGTGTTTATAACATTTATTATAGAACCTTATTTATAATTAAATTATAACTTATAAAGCATAAACTATAAATATTAAATAAATTTTTTTTTTAATATATAGAATAAAAATACATAAATTATTTTGAATGCAATATCTTTGAAACTCTGTATACAAACATAATGGTTTTTATTATAATTATATTACTCTTTATTTGATTTAGATTATTTAATGTCAAACAATACACTTATTTAGCTAGAGCTGTTATTTATGTAATAATATGTAAATATTAATAACTTTTTTAAAATATAGAGAAATAGTGTTTAAAAACTATTTATTATTTGTATAATGTAATTTTCTGTAAACATCTAACAACATTCTGTAAGTAACTTACATACTGTATTATATTATATTTTATATTTATCATTATGCATGTGTGAACAATAAATATAATATTCGGTAGCCATTAAGCTTTACATTTGTTTTATTATAACATTAATAACTTTAGTAACAAAAATATTAATTACTAAATTTTACAAAATAATAATTTTAGTTGAATTACACAAAATTATTATTTATATGATTAAAATTATGGTATTATTTTAGCAAGTACACCTGCGTTACATACTAATCTACTATCCGATTGAGAATATGATCTAGATGTACAATAGTCTTGATTGTATTCCACACCATCTAAATTAAAATGGACCGTGCTCCATGCGACTTCCATCTCAGCTTGCTCCGTTTGTGTACAATATCTCTGTATCATAATTAAATAAATAGTATCAATAAAAAATCATTATGTTATTTATATCTAGTTATAATTTATAGTATACAATATTATTCTATTTTCATAAATACATTTATTTTTACTAAATTTTACTATTTAATTAGCATGCAAATAAATTTATATATTTACATTGTAATTATGTTGATAACAATCGAGCATATTGTATAATAGACAACAGTAATAATCAGCACCACGGCTATAATATTTGGGCAAATTATAACAAGCACTTTTCATTTTACCTAGACACATATTAGTCGACTGTAGTTTGAATCCATTGCTATTTGCTATCAAGCATAAGGGTCTCTTGTCTGCCCTTGTTAACTTGCTCCATACAAACTATACCGAGTATAGCAATAAAAATTAAACGTTTGAGCATGATTTTCATTTGGTAATTATAATAATAGATTATTTTATTTTCAATTATATGCTTACAATAAACTAAATAAATTATCAATTAATATGCTTACAAACATTAACCTATTTATATATTTTTCATAAACTATATGATTAATAATTTATTTACATAAAACATATTTTTATTACTAATTTTTAGTTAAGAAATAAATAAATACCTGATCAAGTGCTTAGCATTGTATATTATTACCCAGATACGTCGTTACTATTATATTATAACATTTAATATAATAAAGTTATAAAACAAAAACTTAGGTATGCTGTATTTCCTTATTTACTTTATTATATTACTTATAAATCCATAATTTAACATATAACATTAGGTGCGTTACGTTTACACTAATTCACTGTCATGGTGCAATAAATTAACTATAGCCATATCGGAAACATGGTTATTGCAATTGCATTTTTATATCATTATAATATTTAAATAATATAAAATTTACCACAAAATTAAAATTGACTGTATATTGCATATATAGCAACCAATATCAAATTATCAAACAATCTGAATGCAATTACTATCTGTTTTCTATTTAATATTACAGGTTTCTATTTATTGTTTCTATTCTATTTACATGAATTGCTGACCTAAATAGTGTTAAGGCTATTATTGTTAAGTGTTTTGTGAAAGTTTTAGAATTTAAAAGTTTTAATTTAATAAATGTTGTGTTTGTTTTTATTTATTTAACTAATTATTTAAATATAATATAGTTGGTTGCACTAATATACTCTACATACATTTATACAAACAATTAGTTACTGGTACGGATGGCAAGAATTAGTTACCCAATTGGTATATGGTACTTTGTGAACAATTACTACCATCAATTATGACCGCACCATTGAAGACAGTTACCGCAAAGTAGTAGGAGTGGACGGGCAGTTGCGCATGATAGAAATAGTGATTTTATAATTTTATAAATTTATAATTATAAATATCTTATAATTTTTAACTTTATTTTGTCTAAAACCAAACTAATTATTTATCGTGAATAAATTATTATAAAATTGATCTAATTATGCGACTATTACAGTTTGTTATACAAATAGTATAATTTATAACAAAATAAAAATTGAACCACGGATCTGTAGTCCAATATAACATTATCAAACATTCTGAGCACAATTATCATGTGTTTTATATTTAATATTACAGTTTTCTATTTATTAATATTATTATGATCAATTGTTAACCTGAAAAGTTTTAAAGCTTTTATTCGAATTTATTTAAATTTAATAAAAAATGTATTTTCATTTTTCATTTACCTAATTGTTTAATTAAAATATAATTGATCACACTAGAATACAAGCGTGAATGCAAACTATTAGTTCCTTGTTCGGATGGCAAGAATAAGCTAATTACTCAATTTGTATATGGTAATTTTGTTAACGATTATCACGTAACCATCTACAGTTACCATTTACTACAGTTACCGCAAGGTAAGAGAAGTGGACGGACAGTTGTGCATGATAGAAATTTATAATGCTTTTAAATGGCCAGATGCGTAATTCAGCATACAGTTATTATGTCAATTTATTTTAAAAATATGTAATATTTAATAGTTTTAATGTTGGTTGAGAAAGATATTTTCCAAAAGTATTGCTCATTTTCAATAAATTATTATAAAATCAGTCAAATTATGCTATTATTACAGTTTGTCATAAAAATTGTATACAATATACGGACATTTTATATATACATAATTTATGCCTACGATAACTACACATGTTCATTGTAAATTATGTTGGTCATTCAACTAACAGGACATACGACAGGGTATACTTAGGGTTAAGGACACCGACGACGTGCCTAAGATTTTAGTGGGTATTAAACGCAAAAAAAGTAAGAAGTTAAGAGAATTAACCAGGTTGCTAAGTTATTTTAATCATTCAATTATCTATGAAGTTATCGAGTTGACAAGCGGGGACCATGATCATGTGAATGATGTGTTTTCAAATTGCTGAGACAGGTGGATAAGAGACTGCCCGATGTAAATACAAAACGTTTCAATAAAAAACAATCTAGATGTGTTTTATTTTAATTTATTAATTCTGTGTTTATAACAGAATTTATTAAAGAACTATTTATAATTTATAATTTAATTATAATTTTTAAAGCATAAACAACAAATATTAAGTTTAATAAAATTATATATATTAAAATTAATTTTTTAAAATTAATAATAACATTATTAATATGATAAATACATTTAAATAATTTACATAAATATATTCTTAAAAATATAACAAAACATCATTATTGTCAACATAATGGGCGATAATTGAGCAAGCACACCGGTATTACAAACTGATCTACTGTCCGATTCTAAATATGATTTTGTTGTACAATAACTTTTTGAGTAATTAACGCCATTAATTGGATAAGGTATCACGTTCAATATTACATCCACTTGAGCTTGCTCAGTTGTGGTACATAAACTCTATAATTTCATTAAATATAAATAAATAAATACAAATAAAAATTAAAAAAATAGAAATTATTTAATTATTTATTTATTAAAAAAACAATCAAAACTCTAATAATTATATTTATATCTTACTATTGACCAAGTAAATAATAACCAAGTTTATATAATTATTTTATTAAACGTACCCGGTAGTTATTCTTCAAACAATCAAGCGAATCATATACTAAACAACAATAATAATTATCACTACGGTTCAATTCAGCCATTCTTTGGCAAACATTGTTAACTTGAGTTAGGCACGTTTCAACCGATTTTACCGTTAATACATCTATATTGCCACTTATATTGCTATTATTCAACATTAGCATTACTTGGTTATCCTGATCAGTTTGCTCCGTACATGTTATACATATTATAACAATTGTAATAATAATTTTAGTCATATTAAAAGCAAATTATTACAAATACTATATTTTACTTATATTTTTATATATACTTAAAATACTAAAACAATTATAAGAATAATAATATTTGTGATCTATTTATATAGTTTTTATTTATATAGCTTTATAATGAATTTTATTATCATTGCAAAATTTTTAACAATTATTGGATCGGTACGCAAGACTTTAATTATCATTAAAATACTTAAAATTTTTATAATAAATATTACTTTATCATGCAATATGTAATTAAAATTTTTATAATCCAATTTGTCACACTGGGAAACAATAATTATTAAATATTGTTTTGCTCACAACTTGCGTATTACAGTGTAATAAATTTACATTACATGTTATACACTGTCATGTTATACTGTACATTGTAAGTTATGACTCCCATTTATAACAAGGCAGATTACTCTCTATATTTGTTGTAATATTATAATTGTAATTGTATTGAATAATATTAAAATATAAATTATTTCAGCAAATTACATACACTTTATGCACCTAGAGATACTATTAAAATGTCTCATGATCAACAACTAATTAAGTTGTAAATATTAATTATTATGTACAATAACAAAATCATAATAAATTTTCAATTAGTGCAAATGAGTCACTATATTTAATATATGATTTAAAAATAGGGTGGTTTTACATAGACTTACAATTGTATTGTTTTTATTGTGAGTAAAGATAATTTTTCACAAATTAATATTGTATGGTTAATTAAAATTTGAAAAAGTGATCATTTTATAATTAAATAAAATTAGCAACACATTATAATTTATTAAAAACAACTTAATCAAATAATATACTGTACGTATATATTTATTAATACAAAACTAATTGATTACAATTCACTTCTATCGGCAGTCACGTGACTGTTAGACATATCTTTATAGTCCAACCAATTAACCCAAGTATTGTCATAAAGTGTGGGATCACTGGCCACGGGGTCAAGTGGTACGAGACTTAGCGGTGAGACAGCCGTGCGGTTAAACTCAAGCAATCTGTGCCACAGTATGGCCACAAACTCGGGCTCAATCTGGCCAATCAGGTCGCGCTGTTCGCACGGGTCGTCCCTAATGTTAAACAAACACAACTCGTGGCGACAGTTGGCCAGTGTAGCGGTGTTGGGTCGGGTCGGGCACCGGACCGTCGACCCCCTCAACACGTTATAATCGGGTTTACGTGACATTTGCGATAATATACGATAGGTTTTACAATTGTGGCGATCAGTTGACTGAAGCCCAGGGAAGGACTGCTTGGTGTTTACTTCGATGTGACGGTCAGTATAGCCGTAGTTAACAAAGTTTTTGCCTAAAAATGTTGGTTCAGAGTTCTGGACGAGTTTCCAGTCGTACCACCGGATGGCCGACTGATTCCACACCGGATCCACGTTGTGATAGATTTCCCACCGCACGGGTCGCCCACTGGTCGATAGGGTAGACCATTGAGAAATACCTTAATGAAAAATAATATAGAGCTTGTAAAGTAATAATTTCATACGAGCTAAATTGCAATAAATTTTAGATTTTTGTTAACATGATTGTTGGTTAGAATATTAAATTGTTAAAATCATTATATTTATTGACAAATTAAATTGACTTATCTAATTTAAAGTAATAAACTTAAACTAAATACCATATAGATGTTTCTGGTCCTGAATGCCAGTGCCGTCGATGGCGTCTAATACTGTGGGCAACAGATCTGTGACGTGAATCAAAGCGTCCGAAACGTAACCACTTTTGTTCAATAGTGGACTCCATAGGAGGGCCGGCACTCGTATGCCTTAAATTAAATTACATTTATTAAACAATTTCAATTCAATTATATAGTATAATCATACGCATAGAAACATAATTATAAGGATTGCAAATAGTGATCTAGCACAAACACAAACCTCCTTCAAACAAGCCCATTTTGGCGCCCCGGAGGGGACGGTTAGAGCCGCTGTTACCTACATTAAATTAATGCACATTCATTGTTACTGTACATACTGTAAATATTACGTGTATTGTAATGCACAGCACACATACCCGTTAACTCTCGGGGATCGCCGCCATTATCGCTAATAAATATGACAATACTGTTGTCCAACATATGCTTGTTATGCAACGCCTCCATAACCGCCCCAATAGAGGCGTCCATACTATAGGCTATGGCGGCGAACGTTCGCCGATCGGCCGACGATATGTGCGAAAACATATCCGTGTATTTCGGGGGTAACTCTAGTATATGTGTTCTGCCTGACGAGTGAACCGCCTGATAGGGCACGTATAGAAACATGGGTTGACTGGCGTTGTGTTGGTCTGTAATAATGATTAATAATAGTTTAATTAATAATGATTTAATTAGTAATATTTTAATAATAATTATTATTATGCAAAT